CTGCGGCGAGGCCAGGTGGAGCGGCGACGGGGCCAGCCCAGGTGGCGCCGGGGCCGCAGGGTAGGTGACGGGGCCAGCAGAGGCGGCGCCGGGGCCGGGAAGGGCGGCGCCGGGACCGCAGAGGTAGGCGACGAGGCCAGTAGAGGCGGCGCCAGGGCCGGTAAGGGCGGCGTCGGGGCCAGCAAAGGTGGCGCCGGGGCCGGGAAGGGCAGCGCCGGGGCCGCAGGGGTAGGCGACGGGGCCAGCAGAGGCGGGGCCGGGTCGGGAAGGGCGGCGTCAGGGTCGCCGGGGTAGGCGACGGGGCCAGCCGAGGTGGCGCCGGGGGCCAGGAAGGGCAGAGCTGGGGCCGCAGGGGCAGGCGACGGGGCCAGCAGAGGCGGGGCAGGGACGGGAAGGGCAGCGTCGGGGTCGCCGGGGTAGGCGACGGGGCCGGCCGAGGTGGCGCCGGGGCCAGGAAGGGCGGAGCCGGGGCCGGGATGGGCGGCGCCGGGGCCGCAGGGGTAGGTGACGGGGCCGCTAGGGCGGCGGATCGGGGCCGCGAGGGTGGCGCGACGTGGCCGCTAGGGCGGCGCGACGAGATGGGGCCGCGACGGGGTAGCGGGGAGCGGCGCGCCTAGAAGGAACGGGGCCGCGCGCCTCGGGGCGCGCGCTAGAGAGAAAATCGTCGCACGTCACGGGGCTTGCGACAGATCGAGTTGCAGCGGAAGCAGTAGTGGGGCCCACAGGCCAGGAGCATATGTGTTCTGATACCATGTGAGAATGAACGAGAATGAATCCACTATGAAAGAGTTGGGTACAGGTACTAACCCTAATTGGGTTGTACCCGTTATGGGCTACCCCACTATAGGCTACACAATATGCATAATCTATAATGTTCTGACAGCTCTCTGGGCTACCAGGCTAAACCTTGGACTACAGGCGCTGCGGACGACAAGATGGCTGCCTCCACTCAACTTCCCCCAGCTGTCCCACACCCCTTTCACACACCCCCTGCTGTACCTCTAGCACTGCTCACACGCCACCCCCCTCGTACCACTCCGACGGCTTCAACACATCCACCCCCCTCAGCGGCAGTTGCAGCAGTGGGAGACGGAGGAGGAGGAGAAGCAAGGGACGGCGCACATACCCGTCACCCCCATACTCGCCACCCCCACACTCGCCACCCCACTGCAGAACGCGTAGCAGGGAGGCGAAGGAGAATGGAGGGGGGGGGGGGGGGGGGGGGGGAGGGTAGGAGGCTGCGCGCGGGTCCCTAGGGGCGGCCGCGGAGGTCCCTGGGGGCGGCGTGCGCGTCCACGAAGGGGGCGCGGGTCGACAGGAGCCGCGGGCGGGTCGATAAGGGGCCGCGCGCGGGTCGACGGGGCCGCCGCGAAGGGCGACAAGGAGTCGCGCGCGGGTCGACGAGGAGGGACGCGCGGGTCCCCGGGGTGACGCGAATAGTGGGAAACCGCCGCGCGCCTCGGGGCGCACGGCGAGCAGAAAACCGCCATGCGTGTTGAGCGCATGGCGGTAAGAAAAAACATCGTGCGCCACGGGGCGCGCGACAGACAAGACAGCAGCGGAAGCTAACGGTGGGCCCACAGGCCAGGAGAGTAACTGCTCTGATACCATTTCGAAATAGCAGACTGAAAAGATAGAACAGAAAAGAGGGGTTGCACTAGCAGGCGGTTGAGTACATATAGCAAACCCTAATTTGGGGCCATACTCGCTATAGAGTACCCCACTGCAGGCTAGACAAATATCACATTCTGACAAAAAAAACAAGCATCAACAATAAAAATCAATGCACCGATGTGCGATGCAGTGGAATGAGACAAGGTTGGGGATGAGCATACACAGTCGTTCAACCATTCCACAGAGCGGCCCCACCATGACCATTGCGCTGTATGTGCTGATGCCCGAGAAAAGGCGTACATCAACGCTCACTGCCCTCAGGTGGAAGAGCAACAAGGCCAATAAAGATGCAGTGTAAGCTTTTTCAACAATGAGCAAAGCGAGAAACTCAGTGACGATAAAACCGTCGCACAAAAAAGTGGCAAATATCAGAACATTATAGCTTATGCTTTTGTGTAGGCTGTAGTGGGGTATCCCATAGGGGGTACAACCCAATAAGGATTAGTACTTGCACCCTCTTCATTCATAGTTCACTCATTTTCGTTTCAATTTTCTCATGCTATTAGAGCAGGTTCCCTCGTGGGAACTGTTCCTAGGGCCCTACTACTGCTTCCGCTGCTACTCGATCTGTCGCACGCCCCGTGGCGTGCGACCTATTTTCATCTCGCGCGGCGATTTTTCTTCTGGCGCGCGCCCCGAGGCGCGCGGCTCTGCTACCCCGTCGCGCCGCCCTAGCGACCGCATCGCGCCGCCCTCGCGGCCCCGATCTGCCGCCCTAGTGGCCTCATCACCTACCCCTGCGGCGTCAGCGCCGCCCTTCCCGGGCCCGGCTCCGCCCTTCCCGGCCCCGGCGCCACCTCGGCTGGCCCCGTCGCCTACCCCGGCGACCCCGACGCCGCCCTTCCCGACCCGACCCCGCCTCTGCTGGCCCCGTCGCCTGCCCCTGCGGCCCCGGCTCCGCCCTTCCCGGCCCCAGCGCCACCTCGGCTGGCCCCGTCGCCTACCCCGGCGACCCCGACGCCGCTCTTCCCGACCCGGCCCTGCCTCTACTGGCCCCGTTGCCTACCCCTGCGGCCCCAGCGCAGAGCCGCAGAGCCGCACTTGCTGCAGTGCCGCCGTGCCGCCGAGCCGCTCGAGCCGCCCGCACCGCCGAGTCGCCGAGACGCCGAGCCTGCTCTTCCCACCATTGGTGAGCCCCTGCCTTACTAGCGCGCTGCCTACCGCTTGCTTGGCTGCCTGCCTTACTGCTGCTACTCCTGCTCCTGCTTCTAATGGCGGAGCCAGATGCAGCCCCAGCGGCGTCCGCGTGAGTCCGTCACGCCCCAGCAGCTACATGAGTGGTACGCTGGTTGGGGTTGTAGGGGTGGCGGCGCTACTACTGCTACTACTTCTGGCGGCGGCCAGATGCAGCTCCCCGACCCCCACGCGCGCCTCTCACGCCCCAGCAGCTTCGTGAGTGGTACGCTGGTTGGGGTTGTAGGGGTGGCGGCGCTACTACTGATACTACTACTGGCGGCGGCCAGATGCAGCTCAGCGACCCCCACGCGCGTCTCTCACGCCCCATCAGCTTCGTGAGTGGTACGCTCAGAGTGGAGGGTCCCTCAGTTCTGTTCGCTGCTTTTACATGATTCGCACTGGTGCTCGGACTGGTCAGCCTTGTGGGACGCCTAGTTACACACAGTCCCGCTGCTTCGCCCATCTGAGCGACGCCTGGCATACAGAGTTTGGCGACGAGGCTGAGCTCCCTGACTGGGTGGAGTTGCTTAGGCAGACGGTAGATATATTTGCTCTTGACTATGATGCTATTCTTACTGCCATGTATGCATTGCCTACTAGTGCTGACCGTGCCGGTCACCTGTGCGTACCGCCTGACCTAAGTATCGAGCCTGCTGCTCCAGCTGCTGGTGAGGCTGCTGCTCTAGGTGCTAGTGTGTCTCCTACTCCAGGTACAGGTGCGGCTGCTACTCTAGGTGCTAGTGAGTCTGTTTCCTCAGGTGCGGGTGAGTTTACTCTCTCAGGTACCGCGCCGGCTCCGGCCTCTCACACCTTCACCCTTGACTCGGGGGCTTCTCGCTCCTTCTTTTGAGACCGGACCACATTCACGTCGCTTGGTCGGCCAGTTACAGTCTCTCTGGCAGACCCCTCTGGGGGTTCTGTCCTTGCTCACTTCTCCACTGTCCTCCCGTGTCCGGCGGCCCCTTCTGGCACCTTGTCTGGTCTTTACCTCCTCTGGTTCTCTACGAACTTGGTGAGTAGTGCTGACCTGCAGGATGCGGGGGTTCACCAGTTCCCTCCTGTGAGTCAGCGGGTGACCCACTACACGGACGCTAGGACAGGCCGACACCTGGCCACGTTTACTCGTCGGCCGGGGTCGAGCCTGTACGCACTTACCACTGCTTCTCTTCCAGTCCCTGCGTCTGGTTAGGTAGCTGCATCGGGTCAGGTGTTTGCTGCAGCGTCCAGGTCTGGTCCTGAAACTGCCCCCTGCTCGTGTTGTCTCGTGTCTCACGAGACTGTCTTCTGGCACCACCGCCTTGGTCACCCCTCCCTGCTTCGTTTCCGAAGCATGGCCTCCCGTGTCCTTGTCTTTAGTCTTCCCCGGTCCCTCCCTCCTCTTCCTCCTGGACCTGGCCCTACCTGCGTCCCCTGTGTCGAGGGGTGGCAGCGGGCTGCCCCTCACTCCTCCCAGTTTCCTCTGACAGAGGCACCGCTGCTGACGCTTCACATGGACGTGTGGGGCCCGGCCCGCATCCGTGGACAGTCGAGCGCTACTTCCTGCTGATGGTTGACAACTACTCGCGTTACACCACAGTCTTCCTCTTGCGCAGCAAGGGTGATGTCATTGAGGTGTTGATCGACTGGATCCGCGCAGCTCGTCTCCAGCTCAGTCCGAGCTTCGGCTCTGACTTTCCTGTTTTGCGTCTGCACTCTGACAGAAGCGGAGAGTTCTCCTCTGGCCTTCTGCGAGCCTACTGACATGCACGAGACATCCGCCAGACCTTCACACTTCTGGACTCTCCACAGCAAAATGGGATTGTTGAGCTCCGCATTGGCATGGTCATGGACGTCGCCCGTACGTCCATGATGCATGCGGCTGCCCCCATTTTCTGTGGCCGTTTGCGGTCCGGTACGCAGCGCATCAGATCAACCTTCAGCCCAGGTTCTCCATGCCGGAGACCTCCCCAGCCTTGCTGTGGACGGGGAAGGTTGGCGATGCGTCTGCGTTCCGTGTTTTCAGGATGTCCACGAGTACTTCCCAGGATGTGCAGTTGCTGATGTGGCAATGCTACAGCATTATCACCATGCGAGCTACTTCTTGGGTGCAGAGGCATCAGGGGGCGTCGGGGACTCTACGAACTGCTGCAGCTCCGCCCTCTCCTCTTGTGTCAGGCCCCTTGCTGATCCCCCTTGCCTGCGTGGGCTGAACCCTTGTGGCGCGGCCACAGCTTGGTCACCGGGTCTGGCGCCCAGCCTGAAGTGGGCGTTGGTGGCAGGTTAGAGGGAAGAGAGTGGCCAATGAGCAAAAGGAGGGGGGATGGGGGGAAAAGGGGACTAGGGAGGAAAGTGCGACTGTAAAGCGGGGCCGACGGCATGTGCTATGGTGATGCAACAACGTCTCAGCTGGCCTGCTAGATCGCCAGTATGCGCAGCGAAGGGCGAAGAGAAGGTCAAATGGTGGCACCTGTGGGAACGGGCAGCTGAGCAAGGGCCCTTGACACGGCACGCACGTCCACTGCCCTCCCACCACCTCGCCCTCTCCCCACACTGCTCAAACTCGCCTCAAGCCCGGACCCTTCCGGCACCCCTTCAGCAGCTGCCCTTTCCGCCGCCCCTTCCAGGGTGGAGAGGCCCAGGAGCACAGCGAGGCGAAAGAGGCAGTGCAGCTCCGAGGGGCTGCCGAGCGGCACGATGGACGCCAAGGGGATGACGGCCGCAGCATGCTGCTTCCACCGCTGGTGGTCACACAGGTAGGCCTGCATGTGTGCTTTGATGCGCCTGCATGCAGACGCGCAGAGGAAGCAGGGTTGGTAGAGAGGAGTGGGATTTGCTTTCTAAGAGAGGAGAGACAAGATGCTGGTCACGCAGGTAGGATTGCAGGTGGGCCTTGATGCGTTTCTACGCAGGCATGCAAAGGGGTGGGAAGGTTAAAGTAATGAACAGTGGGACGGGTGAGGGAGAAGGGAGAGGTTAAACACGTTCTTCATCCAGAGCTCGCAGTGGGACGCTGATGCGAGTGCGCGAGTGCATGCGAGAGGGTGAGGAAGAGGGGGGAAAGGCAGAGACAAGTGTGCTTAGGGATGAGGGTCGCAGTGCTGGTGTAGTCGAGTAGATAACACACACGAGGTGCGATGCAGCAGGGAGAGGAGGAGAGAGACGAAAGATGGCAAGAGAGAATCGAGTGAGGGTAGTGACTGATGAGGAGCCACCGGCATCCATGTATGGCAGATGAGGAGCCACCGGCATCCATGTATGGCAGATGAGGAGCCACCGGCATCCCTGTATGGCAGATGAGGAGCCACCGGCATCCATGTATGGCAGATGAGGAGCCACCGGCATCCATGTATGGCAGATGAGGAGCCACCGGCATCCATGTATGGCAGATGAGGAGCCACCGGCATCCATGTATGGCAGATGAGGAGCCACCGGCATCCATGTATGGCAGATGAGGAGCCACCGGCATCCATGTATGGCAGATGAGGAGCCACCGGCATCCATGTATGGCAGATAAGGAGCCACCGGCATCCATGTATGGCAGATGAGGAGCCACTGGCATCCATGTATGGCAGATGAGGAGCCACCGGCATCCATGTATGGCAGATGAGGAGCCACCGGCATCCATGTATGGCAGATGAGGAGCCACCGGCATCCGTGTATGGCAGATGAGGAGCCACCGGCATCCATGTATGGCAGATGAGGAGCCACCGGCATCCATGTATGGCCGATGAGGAGCCACCGGCATCCATGTATGGCAGATGAGGAGCCACCGCCATCCATGTATGGCAGATGTGGAGCCACCGGCATCCATGTATGGCAGATGAGGAGCCACCGGCATCCATGTATGGCAGATGAGGAGCCACCGGCATCCATGTATGGCAGATGAGGAGCCACCGGCATCCATGTATGGCAGATGTGGAGCCACCGGCATCCATGTATGGCAGATGAGGAGCCACTGGCATCCATGTATGGCAGATGAGGAGCCACCGGCATCCATGTATGGCAGATGAGGAGCCACCGGCATCCATGTATGGCAGATGAGGAGCCACCGGCATCCATGTATGGCAGATGAGGTGCCACCGGCATCCATGTATGGCAGATGAGGAGCCACTGGCATCCATGTATGGCAGATGAGGAGCCACCGGCATCCATGTATGGCAGATGAGGAGCCACCGGCATCCATGTATGGCAGATGAGGAGCCACCGGCATCCATGTATGGCAGATGAGGAGCCACCGGCATCCATGTATGGCAGATGAGGAGCCACCGGCATCCATGTATGGCAGATGAGGAGCCACCGGCATCCATGTATGGCAGATGTGGAGCCACCGGCATCCATGTATGGCAGATGAGGAGCCACTGGCATCCATGTATGGCAGATGAGGAGCCACCGGCATCCATGTATGGCAAATGAGGAGCCACCGGCATCCATGTATGGCAGATGTGGAGCCACCGGCATCCATGTATGGCAGATGAGGAGCCACCGGCATCCATGTATGGCAGATGTGGAGCCACCGGCATCCATGTATGGCAGATGAGGAGCCACCGGCATCCATGTATGGCAGATGTGGAGCCACCGGCATCCATGTATGGCAGATGAGGAGCCACCGGCATCCATGTATGGCAGATGAGGAGCCACCGGCATCCATGTATGGCAGATGAGGAGCCACCGGCATCCATGTATGGCAGATGAGGAGCCACCGGCATCCATGTATGGCAGATGAGGAGCCACCGGCATCCATGTATGGCAGATGAGGAGCCACCGGCATCCATGTATGGCAGATGAGGAGCCACCGGCATCCATGTATGGCAGATGTGGAGCCACCGCCATCCATGTATGGCAGATGAGGAGCCACCGGCATCCATGTATGGCAGATGTGGAGCCACCGGCATCCATGTATGGCAGATGAGGAGCCACCGGCATCCATGTATGGCAGATGTGGAGCCACCGCCATCCATGTATGGCAGATGAGGAGCCACCGGCATCCATGTATGGCAGATGTGGAGCCACCGGCATCCATGTATGGCAGATGAGGAGCCACCGGCATCCATGTATGGCAGATGAGGAGCCACCGGCATCCATGTATGGCAGATGAGGAGCCACCGGCATCCATGTATGGCAGATGAGGAGCCACCGGCATCCATGTATGGCAGATGAGGAGCCACCGGCATCCATGTATGGCAGATGAGGAGCCACCGGCATCCATGTATGGCAGATAAGGAGCCACCGGCATCCATGTATGGCAGATGAGGAGCCACCGGCATCCATGTATGGCAGATGAGGAGCCACCGGCATCCATGTATGGCAGATGTGGAGCCACCGGCATCCATGTATGGCAGATGAGGAGCCACCGGCATCCATGTATGGCAGATGAGGAGCCACCGGCATCCATGTATGGCAGATGAGGAGCCACCGGCATCCATGTATGGCAGATGAGGAGCCACCGGCATCCATGTATGGCAGATGAGGAGCCACCGGCATCCATGTATGGCAGATGAGGAGCCACCGGCATCCATGTATGGCAGATGAGGAGCCACCGGCATCCATGTATGGCAGATGAGGAGCCACCGGCATCCATGGATGGAAGTACAAGTGTGTGGGGGACATGGATAGTGGGTGCGGCCAGGAGGGGCTTGGACGACATCAGAGAGAAGGAGATGCGGGGGACAGGGGGGTGCGGGGGGGAGGGGGGTGCAGGAGTGGAGGTGGTGAGGAGGATATCCGTGCAGGGTGGGCGCAGTGAGTGGTGCAAGGTGGGCGCAGTGAGTGGTGCAGGGTGGGCGCAGTGAGTGGTGGCGCAGTGAGTGGTGCAGGGTGGGCGCAGTGAGTGGTGCAGGGTGGGCGCAGTGAGTGGTGCAGGGTGGGCGCAGTGAGTGGTGCAGGGTGGGCGCAGTGAGTGGTGCAGGGTGGGCGCAGTGAGTGGTGCAGGGTGGGCGCAGTGAGTGGTGCAGGGTGGGCGCAGTGAGTGGTGCAGGGTGGGCGCAGTGAGTGGTGCAGGGTGGGCGCAGTGAGTGGTGCAGGGTGGGCGCAGTGAGTGGTGCAGGGTGGGCGCAGTGAGTGGTGTAGGGTGGGCACAGTGAGTGGTGCAGGGTGGGCGCAGTGAGTGGTGCAGGGTGGGCGTAGTGAGTGGTGTAGGGTGGGCGCAGTGAGTGGTGCAGGGTGGGCGCAGTGAGTGGTGCAGGGTGGGCGCAGTGAGTGGTGCAGGGTGGGCGCAGTGAGTGGTGCAGGGTGGGCGCAGTGAGTGGTGCAGGGTGGGCGCAGTGAGTGGTGCAGGGTGGGCGCAGTGAGTGGTGCAGGGTGGGCGCAGTGAGTGGTGCAGGGTGGGCGCAGTGAGTGGTGCAGGGTGGGCGCAGTGAGTGGTGCAGGGTGGGCGCAGTGAGTGGTGCAGGGTGGGCGCAGTGAGTGGTGTAGGGTGGGCGCAGTGAGTGGTGCAGGGTGGGCGCAGTGAGTGGTGCAGGGTGGGCGCAGTGAGTGGTGTAGGGTGGGCGCAGTGAGTGGTGCAGGGTGGGCGCAGTGAGTGGTGCAGGGTGGGCGCAGTGAGTGGTGCAGGGTGGGCGCAGTGAGTGGTGCAGGGTGGGCGCAGTGAGTGGTGCAGGGTGGGCGCAGTGAGTGGTGTAGGGTGGGCGCAGTGAGTGGTGCAGGGTGGGCGCAGTGAGTGGTGCAGGGTGGGCGCAGTGAGTGGTGCAGGGTGGGCGCAGTGAGTGGTGCAGGGTGGGCGCAGTGAGTGGTGCAGGGTGGGCGCAGTGAGTGGTGCAGGGTGGGCGCAGTGAGTGGTGCAGGGTGGGCGCAGTGAGTGGTGCAGGGTGGGCGCAGTGAGTGGTGCAGGGTGGGCGCAGTGAGTGGTGCAGGGTGGGCGCAGTGAGTGGTGCAGGGTGGGCGCAGTGAGTGGTGCAGGGTGGGCGCAGTGAGTGGTGCAGGGTGGGCGCAGTGAGTGGTGCAGGGTGGGCGCAGTGAGTGGTGCAGGGTGGGCGCAGTGAGTGGTGCAGGGTGGGCGCAGTGAGTGGTGCAAGGGCTCACACGTGGCGCACAACTGAGGACGCGGCAGCGTGGACAGCCAGACGCCATGCTGTGATCCCCGTATGACTCATGGCATGCTGTGATCCCCGTATGACTCACGGCATGCTGTGTGGTAACCAGCCGACGCGGAGGTAGGAGTCAGCGACGCCACACACGTCCCTCTCAGTGAGCAGCACCACCCCACTCCACTCGCCCACCTCCCACCCCTCTGCCCACTCGTGTGTCTTCACCACCATGCTCACTCCTCCCCACTCCCCTCCATCCATCCTCACCCCCTCCCCATCTCCTCTTCCCCCTAATTCCGCGGACCCCCATCCCCCCCCCTCTCCCCTCCCCTCCCCCCCAGGTCCGCGGCTGCAGAGTGGTGAGAGCCCCCTGGCGCGCAGCTTGCTGGCGGAGATGGAGTGCAGCCAATAGGAGAGCGCCAGCTGGCCCGAGTGGGCGAGCAGCAGGCGAACGGCGTTGAAGAGCCACGTGGAGCCTGCAGGGAGGCAGGGAGGCGATGGGTGTGATGGGAGGAGGGGTTGGGTGGTGGGAGGGAGATGGGAGGGGCGGTTGGGTGGAAGATGGTGGGTGCGGGGGGGAGGGGGGGGGGAGAAGACAGGGAAGGCCGTGATGTGGGGTGTGCAGTGAGCAAGAGCCAGGGAGCCGTGTGTGTTGAACCTTGGAGCCCGCAGGGGGGGATGAGGGCGGTGACGGGTGGGGGTGTGAAGTGTGTGGGTAGAGGGCGAACAGGATGGGGGGAAGGGGATGTTGGGAAGGGGATGTGGGGAAGGGGATGTGGGGAAGGGGATGTGAAGGGGTTTCAGTGAGGTGAGGTGAAAGGGAGGAGGGTTGCATGGGGAGTGGAGTGCGCGAACGTGCAGGCTGGAAAGTCGCGCGACTCGTCAAAGTAACTGGGGCGGTCACGAGCTTCAGACCCTCCTTGGAGACGAATGGGCCAAAAAGGGGCTATTCAGAGGCGCGGTGGTTGCTCTTCCAGCCTTGGTGTGGAAAATGATGGGTGGAGAGGATGGCGGGAAGCTGCGGATATTGTGGAGGATGTGAGCGCAGAGCATGTGGGCGCGGAGCATGTGGGCGCGAAGCATGTGGGCGCGGAGCATGTGGGCACGGAGCATGAGGGCGCGGAGCATGAGGGCGCGGAGCATGAGGGCGCGGAGCATGAGGGCGCGGAGCATGTGGGCGCGGAGCATGTGGGCGCGGAGCATGAGGGCGCGGAGCATGTGGGCGCGGAGCATGTGGGCGCGGAGCATGTGGGCGCGGAGCATGAGGGCGCGGAGCATGAGGGCGCGGAGCATGTGGGCGCGGAGCATGAGGGCGCGGAGCATGAGGGCGCGGAGCATGTGGGCGCGGAGCATGAGGGTGCGGAGCATGAGGGCGCGGAGCATGTGGGCGCGGAGCATGTGGGCGCGGAGCATGAGGGCGCGGAGCATGAGGGCGCGGAGCATGTGGGTGCGGAGCATGTGGGCACGGAGCATGAGGGCGCGGAGCATGTGGGCGCGGAGCATGTGGGCGCGGAGCATGTGGGCGCGGAGCATGTGGGCGCGTAGCATGAGGGCGCGGAGCATGAGGGCGCGGAGCATGTGGGCGCGGAGCATGAGGGCGCGGAGCATGAGGGCGCGGAGCATGAGGGCGCGGAGCATGTGGGCGCGGAGCATGTGGGCGCGGAGCATGTGGGCGCGGAGCATGTGGGCGCGGAGCATGTGGGCGCGGAGCATGAGGGCGCGGAGCATGAGGGCGCGGAGCATGTGGGCGCGGAGCATGAGGGCGCGGAGCATGTGGGCGCGGAGCATGTGGGCGCGGAGCATGTGGGCGCGGAGCATGTGGGCGCAGAGCACATGGTAGGAGGTTGAAGGACCCATGAGGTCGATCAATACAGGGCTTAAAGCTCCGGCGAGAGCGGTGCTTATTGAGACGACTCAAGCACAGTGCGTGGAGCAACGCTGTGGGCGCGCGATGAGTGGGTGGTGGCAGGCGCACCCGACCTCTCTGGTCTCGCGCACACGATCAGCCGCGGCCTGCTCCCCCACGCGCCACTGCCGTCCCTGCTCTGCTCTCCGTGCGCCACGTGTCGGCTCGACAGGACATCTCGCCACGTGGGGTCCACGTGGAGCAGCTCGCACTCGCCGTCGCCGCAACCACTGCCGGCCGGACAGAGCGTTCACTGCGCCCAGGATGGCAAGAGTTCAACCAGGGTTTCGCCTCCTAACGAGGATTCTATATTCGCGGATGAATGGAGCCCGTGCGACTCCGCCGCCATAGCGACTACAGCTGGGCGCGATAAGGTTGAGGGTGGCGCCAGGAGCAGCCTGGCGAGCGACGGCGTCAGGAGCGGCTCGAGCGGTCCGAGCAAAGATTTGCGCGGCAGCGCGGTGAGAGATGAGAAGTGGACGCGAAGCAATGCTACTACGGCAGGCATGGCTGACAGTCCCGAAGAGCTGAAATTGGCTTGATGCTGATGAGCAATTTACGGCAGTTGTTCGCTTCACCGCTTTCAACCGTTATTTACCAGCCTGAACATTGATTATGAGCTGCGAACGAACCAAGGGTGACATGCTCTCATGACTGTGGCCACATTTGAGTCTTGTTGCCCCGTTAGTACAATCCTCACTCGCTCCCTACACTGCACTCATCACATTTCTTCGCGCTAAAATCGTCCCTGCAACGGAAGGTTCCGCGATAAGCCAAAATGTGTGCGACGAGTGCGATCCCACCAATGCGCTCCTCGTAAGAACCGCCTGACTGCCGCGCAGCGGGCCTTTCTTGCAGCGAACGGCGGAAACAGCGCGGAGAGAGGCAGCGCAGAGAGTTCACACGCAGGCGCGAGCTACGAGCGGCGGGTGAAGCGCCGCGCGAATGGCGGCTGCGCCGCTGGGAGGTGTCCCGCCAGGCGCGGGCGGCGTGCAGCCCACAGCCGCGCAGGCGCCGATGCCGCGGCTGCACATGGTGCAGCCGCAACCGCACGCGCCGCAGCCGCAGACGCAGCCGCATCCGCAGCAGCAGCAGGCGGGGCAGCAGAGGCGCGGGGCTTTGAAGCAGTTGGTGGTGGTGGTGGAGGGCACGGCGAGCATGGGGCCGTCGTGGGCGCTGCTGCGACGCCTCTACCTGCACCCGCTGCTCAAGTGCGTTCCGCCTCCCACTAGGCTCTCACACCCGCTGCTCAAGTGCGTTCCACCTCCCACTAGGCTCTCACACCCGCTGCTCAAGTGCGTTCCACCTCCCACTAGGCTCTCACACCCGCTGCTCAAGTGCGTTCCACCTCCCACTAGGCTCTCACACCCGCTGCTCAAGTGCGTTCCACCTCCCACTAGGCTCTCACACCCGCTGCTCAAGTGCGTTCCACCTCCCACTAGGCTCTCACACCCGCTGCTCAAGTGCGTTCCACCTCCCACTAGGCTCTCACACCCGCTGCTCAAGTGCGTTCCACCTCCCACTAGGCTCTCACACCCGCTGCTCAAGTGCGTTCCACCTCCCACTAGGCTCTCACACCCGCTGCTCAAGTGCGTTCCACCTCCCACTAGGCTCTCACACCCGCTGCTCAAGTGCGTTCCACCTCCCACTAGGCTCTCACACCCGCTGCTCAAGTGCGTTCCACCTCCCACTAGGCTCTCACACCCGCTGCTCAAGTGCGTTCCACCTCCCACTAGGCTCTCACACCCGCTGCTCAAGTGCGTTCCACCTCCCACTAGGCTCTCACACCCGCTGCTCAAGTGCGTTCCACCTCCCACTAGGCTCTCACACCCGCTGCTCAAGTGCGTTCCACCTCCCACTAGGCTCTCACACCCGCTGCTCAAGTGCGTTCCACCTCCCACTAGGCTCTCACACCCGCTGCTCAAGTGCGTTCCACCTCCCACTAGGCTCTCACACCCGCTGCTCAAGTGCGTTCCACCTCCCACTAGGCTCTCACACCCGCTGCTCAAGTGCGTTCCACCTCCCACTAGGCTCTCACACCCGCTGCTCAAGTGCGTGCCGCCTCAGCGTCGCCCTGCTATAGCGCGTCCCTGCAGGAGCGCCTCGCATTCCCGATCCACTCACTCCTCTCCTCTCCTCTCCTCTCCTCTCCTCTCCTCTCCTCTCCTCTCCTCTCCTGCTCTTCTCGTCTTTTCCCCTCCAATTCTTGCTCTCCTCATCGCATCCCTGTCCTGTCCTCGCTCCGTTCCCCTCCTTGCCTCGGCCTCCGCTGTTCCCTCCGTTCCCCTGCCCTTCCCCAAATTTCCATTCCCCCCCTCCGTCCCCTTTTCTCCCTCCCCCTGCCCTCCGTCCCCTTCCCACCCCCCTGCCCTCTACCCCCTGCCCACCCCCCCACCTCTGGCCCCAACCCCCGATCTCCCCCCCGTCTCTCCGCGCATGCCATGGTCGCCTCGCCAGGGCCTTCTGTGGCGTCGACTCTCTTACACAGGTCAGGGCGGGTCAGGGCGGGGCAGGGCGGGGCAGGGCGGGGCAGGGCGGGGCAGGGCGGGGCAGGGCAGGGCAGGGCGGGTCAGGGCGGGGCAAGGCGGGTCAGGGAGGGGCAGGGCGGGTCAGGGCGGGGCAGGGCGGAGCAGGGCGGGTCAGGGCGGGGCAGGGCGGAGCAGGGTAGGGTGGGGCAGGGCGGGTGAGGGGCCGGGTGGGGTGGGGTGGAGCGGGGCGGGGCAGGGCGGGGCAGATGGGCATCTCATCTCTCTGCTACTTCCTCCTCCTCCTTGTGCCCCCTCCACCCTCCTCCACCTTCCTTCCCTCCCTTACTGGTGTTGACCCATGTTGACTGGCGTTGACTGCGTGACAGAGGGCGGGCACAGCAGCGGTGGAGCTGGCTCTCGTGGTCTACCACTCGCACGGCTCCTTCTCACGTGCGCCCGATCTGTCATGCACAATGCTTAATGCACGCACCCACTCTCACCTGCGCCCTTCTCAGCTGCGCCACGTTGCCCCTGCTAGATGCATCCTACCCTCCTTTCCTCTCCTCCTCTTCCATTTGCAGCCTCTCGGTTCTTCCACACACCCTCCACCCGCCCTTATTCAAACACCCTCCTCCACACCACACTTCAGACGCCCTTGATGGCATCGTCCGCCACGCCTGGCTCCACGCCCTTGCCACTCGCCACTCGCCACTCCTTCTCGGGAGGCAGCGCAAAACCTCTCGTGCTCCCCCTCCCCCCTCCTCTCGCCACCCTCCACCCGCCCCCCACCCCGTCCTGCACCCCGTCAGCCTCGTTGCTGCAGCAGACACCCTTTACGGCGTCACCTGCCGCCTTCCTGTCGTGGCTTGACGCCCTCTCCTTCTCGGGGGGCGGCGCTTCGGACGCTGCCGTTGCTGAAGGCCTCTCAGAGGCGCTGCTGGTGAGTTGAGGCGCTGCTGGTGAGTTGAGGCGCTGCTGGTGAGTTGAGGCGCTGCTGGTGAGTTGAGGCGAGGGGTTGGCGTTGCGGAGTCGAGTGCAGCAATGGGTGCAATGGGTGCAGCAATGGGTACCAAGTGTAGGATATGAGAGCAGGAGCAGCATGAATGCCACTTGCGGGGTGTGGGGGGACACTACGCAGGGAGTCAATGGCGAGACGCCTGGCACGGGGGCCATTGAGGCGAGGTGAGGTGAGGCGAGGTGAGGTGAGGTGAGGCGAGGTGAGGTGGTGCTGCTGCTGCTCCCCCTTCTTCTGCTCCCCATCCTGCCCTCCTTCTGGCACACCGATGCTGCCCTCCTAGTCCTGCCCCCCCCCCTCGTTCTGCAAATGTGTCACCATGAACCCAACCCAACCCAATCACTAGCTCCCCCACCTTGCCACCCATTCATCTCCACAACGACCACGTGCTACCTGTGGCAGCCATGTGCTACCTGTGGCAGCCACGTGCTACCTGTGGCAGCCACGTGTTACCTGTGGCAGCCACGTGCTACCTGTGGCAGCCACGTGTTACCTGTGGCAGCCACGTGTTACCTGTGGCAGCCACGTGTTACCTGTGGCAGCCACGTGCTACCTGTGGCAGCCACGTGCTACCTGTGGCAGCCACGTGTTACCTGTGGCAGCCACGTGTTACCTGTGGCAGCCACGTGCTACCTGTGGCAGCCACGTGTTACCTGTGGCAGCCACGTGCTACCTGTGGCAGCCACGTGCTACCTGTGGCAGCCACGTGTTACCTGTGGTAGCCACGTGCTACCTGTGGCGGCCAGGTGGTGCCCGTGGCAGCCCAGCCCAGCACCACCCTCCCACCTCACCTGCTCCTTCCTCTTCCCCCCTCCTCCATCCTTCCCTCCCGTCGCCCCCTCCTCCCCACCCTTCTCCCTCTTCCCCCCGAGTCCGCCGTCCCTCTGCCCGCCAGATGCTGTGCCCCACACCATCCCCCTCTGCCCGCCAGATGCTGTGCCCCACACCATCCCCCTCTGCCCGCCAGATGCTGTGCCCCACACCATCCCCCTCTGCCCGCCAGATGCTGTGCCCCACACCATCCCCCTCTGCCCGCCAGATGCTGTGCCCCACACCATCCCCCTCTGCCCGCCAGATGCTGTGCCCCACACCATCCCCCTCTGCCCGCCAGATGCTGTGCCCCACACCATCCCCCTCTGCCCGCCAGATGCTGTGCTCCACACCATCCCCCTCATCCACGCCACCAGCGGGCCTGGAGCGCCACAAGCACGTCGTGCTCGTCGCTGCCTCGCCGCCCCACCGCCTGCCCACCCCCGTCGTCAAGCCACCCCTGCCCACCACCCCCTCTGCTGCTGCTGATGCTGCTGGTGGCAGTGGCGGGGCCAGGGGCGTGTGGGAGGCAGCAGCCTGGTGGCTGGCGTGCGCCCCCACGGTGGCATCGCTCTTCGCCCACCCCCAGGTGCACACGGTGTGATCGTGAGCAGCACAGCATGTGGTGATGGCAGCATGCTGCATCTGCTGCATTGTCTCTCGTATTGTCCTTCTTTTGCGATGCCGCTGCCAACTTCATCGCTGGCTTCTGGCTGAAGCGATCACATGTTTCCGTTTCTGGGTCGATGTATTGCTGGCATGCGGGACTTGCCCCAGCTGCATGCATCTTTCCATCAATGCGCATGCTGTGTGAGTGTGGCATCGTGTGTGTGTGGCATCGTGTGTGTGTGGCATCGTGGTTGCATGACCTGGTCGCACGTTTCTTGCAATGCCATGGGAATGCTGTGGCATGACATGACATGACAATGCATGGTATGGAATGGCATGGCACGGGATGGCATGGCATGGGATGGCATGGAATGGCATGGCACGGGATGGCATGGCATGGGATGGCATGGCAGCTCTACGTCACTCTCTCGCTCATCGCTCCTCGAAACGTGCCTCAACTGAGGCAGCTATATGTCGCAGTAAGCCCCTCCCTCTCTTCGTTGCAAGGCCCTCCCCCCCTCGTTTGTCACTCACACCATCGCTCATTGCTACGATGTCACTCCAACTGTCCGCTCCCTCCGCATGTGCCCAGCATGGCAAGGCACGGCACTTTCAATAGCAGTATTAAATAGATCCAGGGTACCCGTTACTCCACTGCCTTCACCGCTTTTCAGCTTCTCACATCCCCTGCAAATTGCACAGCCGTTGTCTCCCCATCAACCCCCACGTGCGCCTGCTGATCAAAAGCAGAGTCAATGATGTCAACCCACCCACTCGCCCCACCCACTCACCCCACCCACTCACCCCACTCATAGAGCCTTGGGCTACGCGTTTTGTTGAGCATTGGTGACCGTCTGGTAGCAAGGATTAAGCACACAATGGCACTGTCTGCACCACACCAAGCGGGAACAGTGTAGTGACTCTACAGCCCACCCATATTGTGAAGCCCATCAATGTGTGTGCACGTGCTGCATGTGTGTGCACGTGCTGCATGTGTGTGCACGTGCTGCATGTGTGTGCACGTGCTGCATGTGTGTGCTTGCCCTTTCCCACCCTCCCTCATCCCAGGCAAAGCGCAGCCCCAGGGCAGCGGAGCCAGTGGCCGACGCAGCTCGGCAGCACCCCCATCACGTGGCGCTCATTGCGGAGGGCTTCCTGGAGGCACGCAGCGTGCTGCACCGCGCTCCACCGCCCAACGAGGCCGCTCCACGTGGCGCCCAGGCGGTGGGCCCCTCTCCTGGCGGAGGAGGAGGAGGAGGAGGAGGTGGAGGAGGAGGAGGGCCCGCGGCGGGAGCTAGTGGTGTGGCAGCGGTGGCGATGGCGGGCTCAGTAGGTACGGGTGAGACAGGCATGGGCGGGGCAGGCAGGTATGTCTCGGCTATGGTTTCAGGCAGAAGCCATTGGTTTCTGAGTCTACTAAGTAGTGGTTTTGGGGTGTGGACGTGAAAGCAGCTTGCTTGATCTGCTCGATATGCACTTCCTCAAGCATGCTTCGAGTCCACACGCCTCCTGAAATAATTGTCGCGAGCAGATCTCAAGTTGTGTGTTCAACTTTGCGCATTCCTCGTGCCCGCATCCCACAGGGCGACTGCCACAGCAACCCGGGGCGGCCATGGTTCAGCAGGCAAAGCAGGTGGGCGGTGTATGTGGCGTGCGTGCATTCTGACCCTGATGTTCAACGTACCATGCGCGATAATGGCATGGACGCACACTCGTGCATATCCATGCCCACACTTGTGTGCTCTCCCCTTTCCCCCAAACTCACTAGAACGAACCACCATCATGTTTGACTCAAGCCACGTTGCTGTTCCATTCAACCGAGCCTACATTATACTAATATTTTTTCCTTCAAGTTGTTTTCACCTTTCCTTTATCACCAGTTGCAGGCTTCATGTACCTTGTTGTTTAGCTTGCGTTAATATCGAGGCTTTTATTCCCGACGGCGCACACACGCACACACATATACACACACATGTGCATGCACAAACACACCCGGACTTACATGCACACATGCGAACAACGCACAGACATGTGCACGCACAAGCACACAACCACACACAAGCACATTCATTCTATCGCTGCAGCAGCGGTTCTCATTCCTCTCTCTCCCTGCATCGTTCCACTCCACCGCCACCTCCCCCTAACAGGAGCCCGTGTATCCCACACCACCACAGCAGCCCCTTGCCCGCCCTCCTGCCCTCTCCCCCTCCCCCTCTCAACCCTTGCGTGCACACCAGCCCGCCTTGCCTGCCACAGCGGGGGGAGGCGTGCCAGTGGGGATGGGGGGAGGGCCAGCAGGCACCATTGCTGGTAGCGCCACCGGTGCCGCTGGGGGTGCTGGGGGTGCTGCTTGTGCGGTGGGTGTGGGCCCGGGAACAGCAGCGCCCATGCCCTCTCTCCGCACCACGAGCCCCAGCCCCCAGTTCTTCCCCACTGGCCAGCAGCAGCAGAAGCCACCACAGGCGTTTCAGCAGCTGCTACCGCAGCAGCAGGCAGCACAGCAGCAGGCACAGCCGACAGGGGTGGCTGTGCCGACAGGGGCGAGGCTGGGAGGAGGCATGGCAGGGCAGCACGTGGGGGCTGCGGGGATGGGACCAGCTGGGGGTAGCGCTGCCGCGGGGGCACTGCCTGCTGCTGCTGCTGCTGCTGCTGCTGCTGCTGCTGCTGGAGGGGCGGGGCGCATGGCAATGGGTGGTGGGGCTGGTGGGGTAGCAGGAGTGGCAGCAGCAGGAGCATTGCAACAGCCTGGCGTGCCCCAACAGGCACAGCAGCCTCCTCAGATGGTTGTTGGGCCTGGAGGCCGCATGATGCCACGTGCCGCACCTGTAGGCATGGCAGCAGCAGCAGGCGGAGCAGCAGGAGCATCTGCAGCAGGTATGGGTGCAGCCATACCAGCAGCTGTTCCCGGACCTCAGTTGGCCAGGCCTGGTATACCCGTACCTGCCGGAGGCCCGGGAGGAGCAGCTGTAGGCATGGCAGGCCGCGGAGGACCAGGTTTGGCTGCCTCTCAGCCAGGCCTTGCCCGTGGGCTGGGAGCTGGTCGGGGAACAGGCCCGGGAATAGGTCTGGGGGTCGGCCCGGGAGTTGGCAGTGGAGCAGGTTTCATGGGGCGAGGAGGTCCAGGCGTGGCAGCAGAGGTGGTGGGGGACTCACAGGGGGGTGCAGCAGCAGCGGGCATGGGTGGGCGGGGGGTGGGCCTGGCACAGCAGGGCAGACCAGGGCAGGCAGCAGTGGTGGGGGTTGGGCCAGGGATGGGGATGGGGATGGGGATGGGGGGAGCAGGGGGAGCAGCAGGGGGGGCGATAGTGGGGGGCCAGGCCGGCATGGCGAGGCGCGTAGTAGGGGGCGTCATGGGGGTGGGTGGTCCCATGGCAGGGGCAGCGGGAGGAGTGGTGGGAGTTGGTGCGGGCATGGCAGGGGCGGCAGGGGGTGGAGCCGCTGGTGGTGCTGGCGGACAGATGGGTCAGCGGCCTCCCCTGCAGCAGCAGCAACAACAGCTGCAGCCACAGGCACAGCAGCAGCAGCAGCAGCAGTTCCAGGCACAGCAACGACCAGCACAGCCACAGTTTCAGCAGGTGCAGGCGGGTGGAGGAGCAGGAGGGGCAGGCGGGACAGGAGGAGTGGGTGGAGTGGTGGGGGGACAGGCAGGGGGCGTGCAACGAGTGGGTGTGGGGCAGGGTGTGGCAGGGCAGCAGGCCACCGCAGCAGGAATCGCTGCCGGGACAGCAGCAGGTGGGGTAGCAGCAGGCGGGCCATCAGGTCCCATGGGAGGAGGAGCAGCAGCAGCAGGGCCTGGGCCTGCCATGGCTGCTCGCCCGCTGCCTCACGCGCCTGGCGCTGCTGCCCCTGCTGCCGCTGTTGCTCCACACCCCACATCCACTGCTCCTGCTCCTGCTGCCCCCCCTGCTGCTGCTGCTGCTGCTGCTGCTGCTGCTGCTGCTGCTGCTGCTGCTGCAGGAGCAGGCGGTGTGAGGCCGCCAGGACAGCCCCCACGGTACCTCAAGCTGTGGGAGGTAAGCAGGCAGGCAGGGGCCTTCCTGCTCCGTGGGAGTTAATCAGTGTGCTTTCGTCCGCTCAGCCTGCTTGCTCGCTCACGGCTCACGCTCTCCAAGGATCTGTCTTCTCAAGAATGCTCTTGTCAATATCTTGTCATTTAGTCGATTATGTTTTTTCCCATGCAAACAGTGCTGAGTCACATCATGTGCGACGGTGCAGTGCTATATCCTATCGTCCTGACCCTTGCCAGTGCACATCCCTGCCCATCTTGCTCCATCCACCTCAGGGCACACTCATGGGCCAACGCAAGGACAAGTCTGTTGAGATCTGCCGCATGGAGGTGAGATCTGCCGCATGGAGGTGAGATCTGCCGCATGGAGGTGAGTGTGCCAGTTCTGGTCCAGTTACGCGTATGGTATTGTTGTAACACGAGTTGAGAGGTTGGGAATTGGAAGTACCATGTGAAACAAAGGCCACGTTACGAAGCGCTCGGCCAAATTGCTCGACCTCACTAAGGTTGAGCGCGAGGCAGGGAGCCGGTGAGCGAACGACTGTCGGGGTGTTGGGCGTGAGGATTCTTTCGCTTTGCCCGACATTTTGCACAGCTCGGGTCTCCGCTGTCTCTGCAGGGCATACCCCATAAGTTGCGGTGTTTTGGTTGACACCCTTTCATCGATCGCACTGTTCCTCCACTGTTCACCCTTTGCAAATAGAGGTCTTCCAAGAGGATTAATGGCTTGCTTGTCAAGAATTTTCCATCCGTGTGCATGCGAACCTGCCCATGCAAGGAACCGTGTATTTGTTAACTCAACCATTGTTCGTGTTGAACCTGCACAGCTGGGTGTTTGCATCTCTCATGCACGTATGTGTGACTGAATGGGTGAATGCTTGTGTGCGCGTGATGTGTTGTTCCCTCTATTGCATGTACCTGTGGGATTGGCAGGGCTACCACCAAGCAACATCTCCTCCCAAGTATGTATCTCGACCCCAGTCCACTACCTAAACTTTGTATGCACCACTCACTTCTCTCATCCTCATGTCACTGGCGTTGCAGCAGTTGGTTGTGACCAAGCACTGCCACACCTCCACTGGCGCTACCAAACTCTTCGATGTTTTGCTTTGTGCTCCTTCCCGTATGTATCGTTCTTGCTTGTTCATAAGTGCAAGCGACTGTATGCTGCGCATTTGTCACCCATAAGCCTCGCATCCATCTCCTCCCCCCCACTCCTGCTCACAGCCTGGCAGCAGACTGGCCGGACACAATGCAGATAGTGCGGCTGGTGTCGCAGGAGTGCATGAACAACAAGTGAGTCACAGGAGTGCATGAACAACAAGTGAGTCACAGGAGTGCATGAACAGCAAGTGAGTCACAGGAGTGCATGAACAGCAAGTGAGTCACAGGAGTGCATGAACAACAAGTGAGTCACAGGAGTGCATGAACAGCAAGTGAGTCACAGGAGTGCATGAACAGCAAGTGAGTCACAGGAGTGCATGAACAGCAAGTGAGTCACAGGAGTGCATGAACAACAAGTGAGTCACAGGAGTGCATGAACAACAAGTGAGTCACAGGAGTGCATGAACAGCAAGTGAGTCACAGGAGTGCATGAACAACAAGTGAGTCACAGGAGTGCATGAACAGCAAGTGAGTCACAGGAGTGCATGAACAACAAGTGAGTCACAGGAGTGCATGAACAACAAGTGAGTCACAGGAGTGCATGAACAACAAGTGAGTCACAGGAGTGCATGAACAACAAGTGAGTCGCAGGAGTGCATGAACAACAAGTGAGTCGCAGGAGTGCATGAAGAACAAGTGATTTGCAGGAGTGCATGAACAACAAGTGAGTCACAGGAGTGCATGAACAACAAGTGAGTCACAGGAGTGCATGAACAACAAGTGAGTCGCAGGAGTGCATGAACAGCAAGTGAGTCACAGGAGTGCATGAACAGCAAGTGAGTCACAGGAGTGCATGAACAGCAAGTGAGTCACAGGAGTGCATGAACAACAAGTGAGTCACAGGAGTGCATGAACAACAAGTGAGTCACAGGAGTGCATGAACAACAAGTGAGTCACAGGAGTGCATGAACAACAAGTGAGTCACAGGAGTGCATGAACAGCAAGTGAGTCACAGGAGTGCATGAACAGCAAGTGAGTCACAGGAGTGCATGAACAACAAGTGAGTCGCAGGAGTGCATGAACAACAAGTGAGTCACAGGAGTGCATGAACAACAAGTGAGTCACAGGAGTGCATGAACAACAAGTGAGTCGCAGGAGTGCATGAAGAACAAGTGATTTGCAGGAGTGCATGAACAACAAGTGAGTCACAGGAGTGCATGAACAACAAGTGAGTCACAGGAGTGCATGAACAACAAGTGAGTCGCAGGAGTGCATGAACAACAAGTGAGTCACAGGAGTGCATGAAGAACAAGTGAGTCGCAGGAGTGCATGAACAACAAGTGAGTCGCAGGAGTGCATGAACAGCAAGTGAGTCACAGGAGTGCATGAACAACAAGTGAGTCGCAGGAGTGCATGAACAACAAGTGAGTCACAGGAGTGCATGAACAACAAGTGAGTCACAGGAGTGCATGAACAACAAGTGAGTCACAGGAGTGCATGAAGAACAAGTGAGTCGCAGGAGTGCATGAACAACAAGTGAGTTGCACTGCCGCACACCCAATACGCGTGGCACAAATTAGACGTACATACTCAACTAAGGTGCATGAACAACAAGTGAGTCACAGGAGTGCATGAACAACAAGTGAGTCACAGGAGTGCATGAAGAACAAGTGAGTCGAAGGAGTGCATGAACAACAAGTGAGTTGCACTGCTGCACACCCAATACGCGTGGCACAAATTAGACGTACATACTCAACTAAGGTGCATCTCATCTCCAGCTGTAGTTGGCGAGATTCAGTAGGAAGCAATCGCTATTACAACTCACGAGGTCTGTGAGAGCTGAATTCATCAAAAGAGAAGCAGCAAGTAAGCTGTTCCAACTGCTTGAAACCCCTCCAGCTCCCACCCACATGCCCTTCATCTCTTGCTCCGCTCCTCGACTCCTTCCGTCTTGGCCACTCTTCCCCGCTCTCTCCCTCACCACCCACTCCAGGGAGCTAGCAGGCAAGGCGGAGCTGCTGGTGTTTCGGCCCATGTCATCACACGTGTTCCTGCAGCAGATGGCTGAGAAGAAACTCGTGAGTGCAGCAGATGGCTGAGAAGAAACTCGTGAGTGCAGCAGATGGCTGAGAAGAAACTCGTGAGTGCAGCAGATGGCTGAGAAGAAACTCGTGAGTGCAGCAGATGGCTGAGAAGAAACTCGTGAGTGCAGCAGATGGCTGAGAGAGAGCAAAACTAGGTGGTGTGTGAGAGAGGACGTTCATGGATCAAATTTCTAAATGGGTTGTTGTTTACTGCTTCCAAGCCTGTCCCCCTTGCAAGGTTGTCTGTCAAGCACCATCCATGCCATCATGCACCATCCATACCATCCACACCCCTGCAAATGCAATCAAAACACGTTACATGCACATACAGCGTCCATCCTGCACTGCTCTCTTGCACATACACTCATATATGCATATGACATGGATGCATGTGACATGGATGCATGTGGCATGGATGCATGTGGCATGGATGCATGTGACATGGATGCATGTGACATGGATGCATGTGGCTTGGATGCATATGGCATGGATGCATATGACATGGATGCATGTGGCATGGATGCATATGACATGGATGCATGTGACATGGATGCATGTGGCATGGATGCATATGGCATGGATGCATGTGACATGGATGCATGTGGCATGGATGCATGTGGCACGGATGCATGTGACATGGATGCTTGTGACATGGATGCATGTGGCATGGATGCATATGGCATGGATGCATGTGACATGGATGCATGTGACATGGATGCATGTGGCATGGATGCATATGGCATGGATGCATATGACATGGATGCATGTGACATGGATGCATGTGACATGGATGCATGTGGCATGGATGCATATGGCATGGATGCATATGACATGGATGCATGTAGCATGGATGCATATGACATGGATGCATGTGACATGGATGCATGTGGCATGGATGCATATGGCATGGATGCATGTGACATGGATGCATGTGGCATGGATGCATGTAGCATGGATGCATGTGACATGGATGCATGTGACATGGATGCATGTGGCATGGATGCATATGGCATGGATGCATATGACATGGATGCATGTGACATGGATGCACGTGGCATGGATGCATATGGCATGGATGCATATGACATGGATGCATGTGGCATGGATGCATATGACATGGATGCATATGGCATGGATGCATGTGGCATGGATGCATATGGCATGGATGCATATGACATGGATGCATATGGCATGGATGCATGTGTCACCTTGTTGATGTTCATGTGCCACCTCGCTATGCATGCATGTACATACATGTGGCCGTACATATGCATATACATGCATGTATCCATCTGATCTCTGCTCGTGCATCTTATCTGACTGTGCATGCATGCATGTATCCATCAGTGCACCGTCATTCAGCTGCCGTCACAAACCCTACTCCTCGGCACCGTACCGGACCGCTCCAGCCGCCTTGTGGGCATGCTATTCCCCAAGGTAATTGGCCCTTCCGGCTGTTTAGCGTTCCGTTTTGTTGCTCGCTGTGAACCAGGACCAAGAGTTCAACTGAACAGTAGAGTGGTTTGTTCTTCCAATTTTCTCATTACGCAAACTCTTTGCAAAAGGGCATACTATGTGCATGGCACAGAGCAATACGCTACTTTAAGAAGCTCATATCGTCCCGCAGCATGCCCCTGCATCCCCCGGGGTCCCCTTCTCTGCGTTTCTCCCCTCTAGTTCCCTGTAGTGTTCCACTCGCTCCGCCTTTTCTGACATCCAGCATTCCCGCCATATCTGTTTCCCATCTCGTTTTCTTTGCTGCTGTACCATGATGTGCTGTGCTGTGCCGTGCCGCCATCGCATGGCATGACAGGACATGGTGCAGTTCCAAGGGGCCCGCCCTCCACAGCAGCAGCAGCCG